TGTGCGGATCTGAAGCCGGGGTCCTGGGACAGCACGCTCAGCTCTCAGAGTAAAGTTAAGCGAACCGAGGCTCCAGACTACACGCAAGCGCCAGACCACACACATGCCGACGAACACCCTTTTCAGTAACACCATCAAAGCTTCAAAGCTACTTCGGCACGCTTACAAATCCAGCGGTCCTACACCAAGGCCTTATCTGCAAGATTGTCTCGCATTCAGGGCGTTTCAAGCGCAACTGCATAGCTTGAAGCGAATTCCATGATTCAAGTCACAGCCTGAACCTTCTCAACTGCAAGCCTTCCCAATTTACAGCCAAAGCTTTGCCTCGGGTCTCGAGTCTACGGTTACAAACTTGCATGGGGTGCTTGCCTCCGCTTCCTTGAGAAGCTTCAATGCCAGCTCCTTCCGGCTCGTTTTGACGCGGAAGTTCAGGGGAAGCTCTGGACATGAAGAAACACACTCTGAAATATGCAAGTAATACTTTTACAGTGGCTTTTTTTCCACAGGACCCGTCTAGGCAAGGGCACCCTGTATCTATTCCCCTTGTCACACCCTGCGCCTTTGACTTTCGGGTTCATAGTTACATACGCTGCTCATGCTTCCCCTATGGCCCTATGTCAGTTTCAGTCCTTCTACTCTAAAGCCCAAGGTCAAGGAAAGCAGCCGGAGGCCGTTCCTCCTTAATCGAGCCCCGATCACTATCAATCCAAGCAGGGAGCCTTTGAACGCCAAAGCAATGCCGAAGTTCCCGCAAAACCAGGCTCCTAAAAACGGATCCTGGAACTTAATCATGTACACCCTAAGCCAACATGTTCAAACCCAGACAGATGCACCTTGAGACCGGCACCCGCATAAACAACCCAACCTCGACTTTCTCACGCTCAAAGTTCACATTTCATTCGGGATGGACATGGTCGCGTCGACCCTCGACCCCAAGACCCTTTTTGCTGGTCATTCCTTGCGCCCCGCGCGGAGGTGGAGGGCTGCCAAATTGGAGAGACTGGGCGTTGGGGGCTCGGGCATTGTAAGGAGGAGCAACGGGTGGGTTGAGGCATCACGCTTCTGGCTTCAAGATGAAGAATTGGGATCGGGATTCGAGATGGTGTAGCGGGATTGTGGATGATTTTGGTCTAGTGTTTGGAGTCCGGAAGGGCCAGAGGATTGATTCTAATGCTTGTGCGGCTCGATCGGGCTCGATTTTTGGTAGTGTAAGACAAGATGATTTCTGACAACCAAGTGTCCACTAGCTTGTGACATCCACTCATACATACCCCTACTCCTGGTACCTGGAGATCCATGCTGTAAACCCTCCGTAAACCCAGGGGCTTTGGACGGGACACCGAACCTAAACAATATAACCCTCAGCCCCCCGCGGGCCAAGAACAAGCCCTCGTTCCGACATGAATGCCCGACACACCCTAAGCCTCTAAAAGCTCCTAATGTTGAAGACCTCAAGGCATTCGGCTTGCCAGGCTGCGTCAAGTGCACGCCCGAGACAAGAGGCGCAGCAGACGGCCCAACACCTGACAGGTCGGGGGCGTGCAGTGAACTGACCAGGTGCCCCCCCCACCCACCACCCTCCCCGCCCTAAAGATTCGATTCATGCTCATAAGATTCCTCGAAATTCTGACGAAGTTAAATGGCATTCCGATTCGCTTAGGATTGTAAGGATTTTAATGTGATTCCTATTGCTTTGAATAGGATGCTTTTCAACTTTAATCAATAAGAACCTGATTAACATTCGTACGAATCCGAGTAAAATTAATCAGGAATCTGAAAACTTCTGGGAATCCAATTTAACGTAAGACTTTCTATGAATCTAATTTTTCTAACACGAATCCTGTTAAATTAAGATTTCGGCTCTCGCACTCGACAAGGAGGCAAGGATTCGGGCGGTGTGTGTCAACTTGTTTGGCTAGACTAGCTGCAGGAGGGACAAGCACAGCTGTCAAGCCATGTCAAGCCATCTGAACGATCAAGTGTCTTTGACGTACTTTTGATTTACAAGCCAGCCAGGCATTGCCTGACTGCGCGTCGAGGATCTCATCCAGCCTCACTCAGCAAGGAGAAGGAAAGGTAGGAGGAGTCGCTGAGTTGCTGGGGGCGCCATCTACAAGGCCGAGTGCAATAGCTAAGTACCTTACAATTGGAAAATTGAGCAAACCAGACTTCGCCGCACAAGCGGCCATGCTTGGGAATCACTCCTCGCCATGAAGCTTCCAGACGTAAGTTAGGCTACAACGGCTCTGTGAACTTCTTAACCACAAGTCCATAAACGGAGGAGAGTTTGGGGATGTGAAGAAAGGATGCCTTCCTCAAGCCAAAGCATCTACCCAAGCGACATTGTTAGCGTTCTCTGCAAGCGCCGCTCTGCCTGCATGCCGAGCGAGGAATAGGAGCTGAGAGCAGCATGTCTGCCCTTGTGCGATGCAAGGGTTTGGAGCCACTTGGAAAAACTGGCTAAAGCAAGGTGGCTTCACTGAAATCCGGTGCTTCCTCCCAGTCCAAGGCACAAGACCCACGCCCGCACCTCTTAGGCCAAAAGCGTCCAACCCTTAGGATCTGACCAACGCCCTTGAAGGCACAAGAACCCTGGGAGAAGTGGCCCCGGCAAACCTCAGGCCCCCTATACCTGCCACCGCCACCGGCTACCTGCCTGCAAGAGCCGTTCTCGGCTGCCGGTGAGCTGGCAGCATGCCTCGTTGCCTGCAGGTCTAGCTTTCACAGGTCCAGATTTTGCGGATTCCGCCCGACTCGCTCACGACCTGCTTCCTCTACAAAGGCAGCCGCAGCTTTGGGATGTAGGATTTGGCAATAACGATGCCTCCTTGGAATTAACCTTCAGCCATGCCCGTGCCTATGCCCGTGAAGGCGCGGATGGAGACCCAAATCAGACGGCGAGCAAATACAAAAAACAACCCAGCAATGAGCCCAAGTCCATTCTGCCAACGTGAAATGGACACAAAAGGGCTACTGCATTACACAGCCGACATAGCCGAACCCCCCCAAAAAGCCCATCCTATCGCTCCCAGACGTTCTGGATCCAGGTGGCTTGTCCGCGCCAGGCACTCGGCCGTCGCGAAGACGTCAGTACAGCGTCCATCAATGCGAAGGCGAAGGGCTCGGTCGTAAAGATCGGCCTTGGCCAGGCCACAGGCGCGCGCATACCATAACTCCAGCGGGAGCCTCCAAACCAGCCCGAAAGAAGACATCATGTGGCCCTGGCTCTAGAGACTGTCACCTTGATCCTCTTCAAAGCCCATCACCCCCCTGTAAAGACTGCTCCTGCGTCCGGCCAAGCAAGAAGCATAAGCGACGTGACCTCTCAGCAGGGCCAAGCTGCACCTAACAATACAGTACATATAGAACTCAATGTTTGTTTCCTGCAGCCGGACTCCCCAACCCGAAGCCGAAACCGCGGTCCGACAAAGCCACGGTGAACCTTAACTTGAGCCTTGACCGAACTTCGCTTCTGACATGCCTTCGCAGGAAGACCACGCCTAGGCCCCAAATTCCACCCATGCCTCTGGGAGGGACTTTAGAAATCCAGCACCCCAAGCCCCAAACCGAAAAGAGACTTTTGCAGGCCAGGTGCTGCAGCCTCCACCTCGCCTGCCAGCACCCTCTCTGCCGCTTGGCGCTCGAGAGTCGTCGCAAGCTCCAAGTCTGGGCTTGTTTTTTTTTATTTTGTTTCTTTGTGCTTTTCCATCGTGTTGCTTAAAAAACACAGGGCGCATGTAGATGTGCCGGTTTTCAGCAGTTGGAATGCTCAGGATTGAGCATGTGGGTCTCAGGATTGAGTGTGCTTCTGAGCTTGTGCAGGTGATCAGAGATCCTTCACTAGCGCTTTATGATATGCACTATGCCCTTTACACTTTACAATGTTGATGTTCCGCGGTGCTCTTTTGGGTCGGATTTTTTCTGGATGCAGGTTTTGTCCAGGCACGATGATGTCATGCAGAGTATGCTTCATGGCGTTGAAGTGCTGTTGCGCTACAGCTTTTCGCGAGGCCCGAGAAGGCTAAACCCTGAACCCTCAACGAGTGCCAGCATTGCTGCAAGCCGCCCTTCGTCGCCGACCAATCGGTCACAGTTCTATCCATGTTTCGCCTCCAGAGCGAGGTTTGATTTCGGGTGCACGCATGTGCAGGGTGGATGGACGTCACGAACCTGATGCTACAGCAAAAGTCGCACAACCAACCGCGCACTCTCGCGACTTTCTCTGAACTAAGCATGCAACCAACAAACAAATTGAACATCTGGACGGGCACTTGTCGCCCTGGTATGCAACCTGGTGCAACACAATACCTTGGGAGCCTTGAGTCATTGGTCTCGGAACCCAGGTTCAAGCTGCCTGAAATAAGAACCCATGCCAGGCCTCCGAGCTGGTCATCAGATCACCGTTAAAGCATGGAGGTGAAACGCTGTTATCATACAGCTCTGCATGAAGCCTAATGATAAGGCTCGTAAGCCCCGGTCTTATCATCTTCATCGCGGAGCTTCAGTTGTTGACTTGTATGTGGCATCCCTGCGGCAAGCTGAAACACGACCACTCCTACTAAATGCGACGCGAAAACAAAACAGGATGAACTGCCTTCACTCTGCAATGAGGTTGGCCTTCTTCCTTAGTCTAACTAGGAGTATAATTAAGGCTAGGAAAGGCAACCATATCTAAAACCTAGCGGCTCCGTGCACAGGCCTGTGCTGCAGCTGACGGAGCGAAAAACGGCTGCGTCCACCGGCACAGCCGGATCCTCACATAAGCGTAAACACATCATTAACCTACATACACAACTAGACTAGCATAAAGATACACATGCACACATCTGCACGTGTGTATAAGTGCGCCTGTGTGTCCAACCAAGGAACATGTACGTATGCGAGTGGGTGCGCACACATGTGCAGGCATGCTTTTGTATGTACATTAAGTAAGCGTGTGCACGCACTTTGTATATGCACATGCGCAGGAACTCCGTGTGATTCTGCCCCGAGCCAGCCGCCAGAGGTGCTTTGGCAACTTCCCGTGCATGGCCTGAAGGCTGCGGGACTGGGCATTTGGCATTCAGCTTACCTGGCTCTCAGACATGATGCTGGCTGAACTCCTTGCGTGTCTCCGATGTGTGAACATTCCGCAGGGTGAGGAAGATTGAGTCCGTGCACACGTCGTTCAACAAACCCTCTAAGCCTGAACACTTCGCAGCGGGGCTAAGCTTGCGGTAACTTTCTGGTCGCGACCAGGAAATGCAAGTGAAGGCTTGCCTGCTTGAAGCATTGTCGGCTGTCAAAGTATGGACTACATCTTGTGAGGCTGCTGTAGCAGCCATCTAGGTTCTTATAAGGCAGCTTGGCCCGTCTTATGCAAATTTTGGACAAAGGCCCAGATCTAAGGTTCAAGATTGAAGATGACGAAAAGTTTCCAGGCCGGTGCTTTTTTTAAACATTTGCATAAAAACAAGCAAACATTGTAAGAATTAATCCAGATTCTTGCAGTAGTTACTCCACTTGCTTTGGGTCGTTTAAGCCTCACCCCGTCAGCAAGAAACCCTAAACATCCTCCCTCCCTCCCTCACTCCCTTCACGGAAAACGCCATCCCAAGACTGAGGCTGGTGCCCAACGAGCGAGGCGGGAGGCTGCATCCTCGATGGCCTCCACCTCCGCCAGCGTCTGAGGCCTCACGCAGGCGAGCAAGTTCAAGCTAGCTAGCTGCAGGAGGCTTCAGCTAGCGTTGATGGAGTTCGCGGGTGTTGAGAGTCTACGAATTTTACTGGTAGTCGGGCTTCGGGTCGCAGGGAAACGACGACGACCCTCAAGTTGCTCCAGGTGCACTGGCCACCGACGAAGCACAGGGGTGGTGGTCATTCCCACCACTAAGCAGACTAAAGCCGCGCTTTTTGCTCAAGGTTGGATGTCGGGATAAGGTTTTGGCATGTAGAACAAAACAAGCTCATCGGTGAATCAGTGCGGGCATGTGCTGGCTATGCTAATGAAAGCTCGGACTGGCACTGCGCCGATAGCAGCAGGCGCAGTGACTCCTCCACGGAGCTCATGGTGCTGTAGCCTCCAGTGTCAAGGCTTGTACCAGTACGCAGTCAGTTCTGGCAACATCAGGCCTGTGCATCGGATGTGCGGTGCATATTCCATTTGCATGAGCAGCCTAAACCTCGTCATACCTCATGCTCACAGCTCACACCTCCGACAACTCAGCGTCAGGCTCTGAACTGGTGGTGAGGTGACGGAGCGAACATGCGCTGGCGGCGAGAAGAGCGGAGCCTTCCTGATCACGTTCGGCGGCTGGCAGATGTGTACAAGCTTTTGGAGGTTGCTCTGCATGCTTGGGGTTAAGCCGGTTCAGCCTGTTGGGGTTTCGTACCGATTGGAGGGCGGGCCAGCTTCAGCTCAAACCTTGGATGCGTCCCTCTGTTCTGGTGTCTGCTGCACGGTAGATGTGGTGCTACCATCGTGCAGCGTTCCGACCCTCCCACTTTCAAGCCGAACATCAGGGATGCAAACTGTCGGCTGCGGTGCAATGGTCGGATCCCCGCCCCAAAAACAAGAGCTGTGACCCTGAAACCGAAGCTACATCAAGTCAACTACTGTATGGGGGCCTATGCTTTCCACTAGTACCACCTGATGACATGCGGCTGATCAGCTTCTACAGCCTAAAGTGACTAGCACAAGTAAGTGGCCATGCCGCCATACTTTCAGGCTTGAAGCTATGCAAATGCTCCACAGCCCTTGAAAGAGATGCGGAACATGCTCTGTAGATTGAAGTGGGGATGCTGGGATGTCAAAAAGCGCTTCGCATCAAATCCCTATAAGATCGGAGCCCATATTCTGAGCAGCGGCCCTCGGCGAGGCCTGCAAATTCATGACAGACAACCCGATAGGTGCACTCCACTACCTCAAGTGGACTGGAACAGCATGGCCTGGCTTGATTGAGTTGTGCCATGCATTCTTGCGGGGACCAGGACCTGCAAGGGACATTAGTAGCCTGCAACTTATGAAAAAGTATGTGCTGAAGGGCGACCTGTGCGATCTTAGATGGGACGCCGTTCTAGAAGTGTGAAGTGGCCTGGGAAGGCCTGTCCAAATACTGCCGTGCTGAAAGCAGCTTCTGAAAGGGAACTGTGCCCGAGGAGCTGTGCAGCGGGACCTGTGTAGATCTGCGCTTGTGTGTAAGGGGCTTGTGTGCAGGTCAACCTGTGCAAGGGACCTGTGTGCATACGTGCAGGGAGTGGCAAAGGCAAAGCGGCATGTGTACACGAGCCCTGCAAAGGTGCCTGCGTGCGGGGATATCAGAGTCAGCAGTTGAGGGGACCTGCGAGGAGCCTACAGGTACTGGAGTGCAAGGAGCTTGAACCACCCGACCCAGCTGCATCAGGCCAGCATTGTGAGCATCAGATGCCGAGGCACCCTCAACTCTATGGCGAAACCCTTTTCTAGCATTCACATATCTCCTGCAGCAATGGAGGCCGCCCGTGTGCTCGGCACAACGCCCTATGGGTTTGGGCCTTCCGGGCTCCGTCCGCGTCCTCGATCTTGCGAGACCTGCACCAACAACACACGACCGGGCGCACAACTGCTTTCTAAACATGGCAATGGCGAGCATGAATTGCCTCATTGATCCTCACATGTACTAAGGTGAGCTTGCCGGCTAAAGATTTTGATTGCCCTTACCACCCTGCTGAACAAGTTCCTCCATGTCCCATGCAAGTGGCATACTGGGGGAGCTACTATACGGAGTCAGAGTCCGTGGGACAAGCAGGCTCTGGGAGCCATTGTGATGGGGGTGGTCAGCCGGCATCCAGGCTTCCACCATGCTTAGGACGATCCTTTCACAGAACATATCGAGCTCTGGAAGTCTGAATGCTTCCCCACGATGCTGGAACAGGGGTTCACGAAGAAAGCTCAGACGGGCCAGAGCGAGTTGGACTTCTCTGGCTTTGGAGAGCTTCGCATTCAGGACGCGCCCCGTCGCAACAATAACATTGGATAAATGCAACGGAGTCTAACCCATAAGCCTAGACCAATTCTTGCCATGCAAAGCCATTTGAAGCTATGGATATGAGGCCCCGAGGCCCTATGAGGCAAAGAAGAAAACTGTGAAGGCTTAAGGCTGAAACACTGCAAGCCTTCAAAGGCACCCTAGCCTGCAGAGTCACACAGCTGCGTGCAGAGCGCCGCATTGTGGCAGGCGAGCCCTGACTCGAAAGGTCAGACAATGTCAGACATGGTTTCTGGAGTTTAGGGTTCCTTAGAGAGGCCTCCGAGTTCCATGGCTTCGCATGGGCGACTTGAGCCGTCGGTTCTCAAGGAACTTTCAATTCTACGGAGCGTTGTGGACCTGAAGTGGGCTTGGGTCGGAGCTTCGACTTTCGCTGAACACGTGCCGGCGTTACAAGGGGCACGGGATCAGAGCACAGCGTCGGAGAAGGCAGCTTCTTCTCTGACCTCATTTTGCTTGTCTGCTTTTACAGCTACCTGACGATGTCCGAGCCATCCGCGGGTGGGGAACACAAAGCCAATCCCCGAGGTCCGAGCCCTACCGACCGGACCTGGGCAACGGCCGCCTCCTGCTGGGCTTCGGTTTCGGCTGTGTGATATTGTGTGATGCTCGGGTCGGGATGCGCGGGTTTTGCAGGGCTTGAGGATTCTATTGGTTTCAATGGCATTGTTTTGGGGGGTCAGACGGAGCTGGAGCTTGGGAACTTGGGATGCTCTACAGGCATTTCTAGGGCTTGCGGGCCTTGGGATTTTCTGGCTGGAAAATGAAGGTTCGCCGGGCTTCAGGCTTTTAAACATACAGCCGAAGTACCACTCAGCACCACTTGGCTCTTAAGGGAACTGATACAGTAGTCCAAAATCCCCGGCTGTTCAACCGGTCTTCCTGGAGACCTTGCGTGAGCATCTTGAATACAAACTATGTGTTGAAAGGTGTAGCTACTTGATGATTAATCTGTTCAGGCTCAGCCCCATCAGTTTCACATAGTGGTGCGTGGTTGCAACAGGCCGCAGGCACCAATCGCAGCGAGGGGCCTCCTGGCACATGGCTTCTGCACACGTCAACACATGCTTGAAGCGTTATTGTATAATTTTGGAATGCTTACCCAAAAGACCCTGCGCACGGCACAGGGCCTTTGGCAATGTGCCCTGCACAGTGCTCCCGCAATCTCTCTTCAACATCTGACCCACGATCATTGCCAGGGCACCTTTGAGGACACGCCGGGGAGAGCGAATTCACGCTACTGAACCCCAAGCCAGCCCGATGCCTGCGCGCTGTGGTGACGCCACCTGCTGGGAAGCCATGTGGGGACGTGACAACATGCGACATCCTATGGTTTACCGGCATATACACTGTATGCACGTTTTGCAAACACTCTCGCCTGAAGGATCCGGCGTGGGCTGAGGGGCGAGACTCCCGTGCTGCACCTCTGTTCGTGGGGTTTTGTGGGGCTTTGGGTTGCAAGGCGTGTCGTAGGCTTGCCCACGTTTTCAGGGACATAGGAGTGAGATGGGGTGATGGACCACTGAATTTAGCGAGCCCCTGCTGGCGCACCATCAATCCATTTTGGTGTAAGATCCACGTACGAAGGCCGCATCTCACTTGAACAGCGTGAGGTAGCTTTGATTTACAACTGGCATACTTACTATGCGGAACAGCTTACACGAAACCAGGAAATGAGGCACATGGTTGACCCCTCTTGTCCTTTTCCATGCAGAGAGCGCGTCGGCCAGACGGGTGCTGGCTTGCCTTGTCTGTATGAAACGGCTCGTGCCTAGAAAGCAAGCTCCTGCTTTCAGAAAGTTACAAGTCTCATCAACTCAGGGACAGAGTTTAGTTCTCAACTAGGCCGCCTGGACAATTCATAAAGATGTAGGCTCTAGGGCACTAGACCCTTGGTGCTCCAGATGTGGTTAAAGCTCAAGCTGTTACGTTATGCCCCGTGTCCGCCTGGGTGTAGATATTGAGTCAAGAAGCTTTAGGCCCCAAATCGAGGAGGCACAGATATCTCTCAGTCTTGTAGCCGAGAATCGCTAGTGGGTATAGTTAGTATAGTTTCTGCCTTTTTCTGAGTGCTGTGGGTAGTGCCTCGGGCGCTTGGTTCTATTGAAAAGGGCATGCCGCGGGCATGCCTCAGTTCTTTTCCAGGCTGAGCCGGAACACGCTCCCGGGGACAAAGCCAGAGGAGAGCAACAGGTCCTGGTCCTCGAGAACCAGCACCTGCGGGGAGCGTGGTGAATGTGCAGGAGTTTACTGGGCGAACTTGCTCATGAGTTCGGACACATGTTGGCATTCAAAGAGGCCATCTGCTCCCTAGCGCCCTGCATTAGGAAGATTTACAAGAACAGACCGGCAACATGAAGTAGAGGCTGTGCTGATATGATACGTACAGTTATATCGTCCTGTTATATCGTCCTGCCAGTACAGAAATGACAGAAGGGCCCACAAACCTACTGCTGCAGGCGCGTCGAAAAGCAAACCCTGACGCGGCCAGCATGACGCAACACCCCGACGTCCTAATCCTGTAGCCCCAATCCCCTAAAGAAAATGACCCAAGCCGTTGAGGCTCTACCCACCTGCCGGGGCAAGATCAGGCTCAGCCGCGCCAATGACACGTCCCAGCCGAGGTCGTCGCAAATCTGATCCTTCCGTTGGCCGGGTACACCCAGATGAGGGCAGGGTTTTCAGCCAAGCACAGCCACAGTTCAGGTTGCAGGTTGTAGGTCAAAACCAAGTAGCCCCTCGAATATGTGCGGGGAGTCTCGCAGGCTTGAGTTGGCTTCGTTGGTTCCAGGTCGGTGTTTCAGGAGGTGCTGCTTGTGCTCTGCATGGTATATACCTCACAATGCTGTAGCTCAAAAAAGGTACACCACTTTAGGCAACTAAGTAGAGATCCTTCACTTGTAGCTCGCTGGTAACATGCGCTGTGTTGAAGAACATGGCCTCATGTCTGCATAAGAACAGATGAAGGCAAATAGCATCGGATGTTCCACAGCCAGCATGTCCCGACTCGTTTTTGTTTTCGAGGAGCTCGGGCAGTCGGGCTCATGTGTCCTTGATCATGGCAACCGTGGTCGACGTAGAGACTGACATCAGCAGCGTCTCCTGGGGACTATGCAATGTCGAGGCCTTCGGACCTCATGGCTGCAGGCGTTGCAGGGAAGCCCATGGCTCATGCAGCATCTATGACCATGAGCCCATATGAGCCCTCTCCTTGCCACACTGCACAGCGACGTCCACTGTCTTCCCTCTCACCGCTGTCACGACCTGGGCAGGTTCAGGTGGGACTCTGGAACGCGAGAGCCCGGCGACGTGGTCAGAATGCTGCAGGCTTACCTAGCTTGGTCATCTATAAGGCAAACAGCGCCAGGGTCGAACAGTCTCAGCTGTTTGTCGGCCGGGCTAGCGCTCTGTCGCACCTTGAAAAGCTGAACACAAAAAAAGGAACATATTTCTCAAAGAACCAGAGGCTGGAGGAGCTCTTGTATGTATCGCATGAGTAAAGACAGGACTTTGGCCATTGGGAAGTCTTTGGTTTTAAACATTCCTTGGGCAACTGCACATCTGCTGAAAAAAACATATGCACACACCGAGCGACTAACCGTAAGCGTCCGTCTGCGCACAAGAGTTCACCGGCATGAGGATGGGCCTAGGGTCCTGTAACTTCGTAACTTTGTACGCAAACAAATCTTGATCTCAACAACTTAACAACTCCACAGATCCCCAAAATGTAATGAAGGCCAGCGCGCAAGTCTTGCCTAAGGACAAGGCTCGGAAACCCTTTTATTGAGTTACATTGAGTTACTGTCGAACTTGCGGTAGCATCGAGCCACCCAATTACTCGGACTGGATTTCTCAAGGAAAATAACAAACTCAGCAGCCCAAGTAGCCAAGGGCTCACCGGAGTAGGTACAGTAGCTGCGGAGCGGTTGCCTCCGAGGATTTGGATTCTGGCATCAGTAGGGGATGACTTGTGCACAGACTCTGATGTGAGCGGAGAGGACAGCACCGGGTGCCACATCAAGGACCTGCATGCTGTTTTCAATCCTGCCTCCCCTGGCTCGACAAGTGCCCGAAAAGTGCCTAGTGCTTTGAAACTGGGGCGTCCGGGCTGAAGGTTTCGGGGCATGCATCTAGCCGTGGCTGCAAGACACGGCGTTATGCATTTCGTTGTGATGCACGTCGCATGTATGCGAAAATAGCTGGACGTGAGCCTGAGCCTACGAAAACCGTGAACATAGGTCCTCAGAACATGTAATGCTGGTTGGTCGTTTTTGCGGGTTCCTCTGAAGAAGCCCAGCCACCTGATCAGATTTGGGTAAACCCCGACAGAAGGGCATTGACCTCATCCATGGCGATGTCACGCACATGCTTCGTCCACACCCCGGACTTGATTGGAGCAGACCCTGACATGAAACGAGGGTGCGTCAAACCAATGATCGTTTCCAAATCTTTCCTTCCTTCTTTCCTTGCTTCTTTCTTTCTTACTTTCCTTCCTGCCCTCCTTCCTTGCTTCCCTTCCTCCCTTTCTGAGTCTCTTCCGGCCCACAGTCTCCGCTTCCTCTTGAAACTGTTCGATTGATTGTTTTGATACCCTTTTGTTCGGAAACTGTCGGTCCTGAAGTTGATGCTTTGATACCAATCCCCTTCAGCACCCGGCCAGTTCACTTCCTGCAGTACGTTGAGGCTATCCCAGCTTGGCAGCAACTGCACCGCCGAAGGCAGGCCTGTCATCCAGCAGCGATCGGCCGGTCAAGAGCTTCCTGAGTCCGTGGGTGGTCACCCTACACCTTCTGTTTCAAATTGCTCTCTGGATCACTGCTTGATGTCTGCCACTTGCCCGGGCTGCGTAAGGGTATACGGTCTACTGCATACGGTTTCAGCTTCCCTAGAATACCCAAATCACTTACGCTACATGTCCTGCATATCCTGTGCAGGGAATCTCACTCTGGTTAAAAAAATTGAGCAGTGCCGGGGACTCTGACAAGGTGACTCTTACAAAGTGGAGAACCCACGGTACCAGCACAGCGTGAACCTCTTACAAAACCCCCAACACGACGCACACTACAAGCAAGTCACTGCTGAAGTCACCTGTACGCGCTTCTGGGCATCATCCGGTACTTACCGAATAATCTGGCACGACAAGACATATGAAGAGACTTTCGCAACGTCTAAGCGCTCCGGAAAATGTCGGCGGTTGAAGCATGCAAGTTCGGCAGCCGCTGCACCTTGCTGCAGCTGTTTCAAGGTGCATCCAGCGCGTTGGGACCTACACCTCGCACAAAGCTGCGACGTGTTGCGGGAACTTATGGTGCCGGCGAGCTTCATTTCGGGATCTTCGTAGGCGCCCTGCGAGGGTTGCAGTGGCTCAGAAATCACTATCATTGATGGCACTTGCGAAGGACATTTGAATCCAGGTGACACAACGTATGGCACAAGACCAATCCAAGGCCAGAGGGAAGGGACGTCCCGTGCCTCTTTGGGGCGCTGCCATCGCTGAATCTCATCCCGGAGGGTGCGCACAGCCGCATCCAAAGGCAAGCAGGCAGTGCCCACCTCCAGGAAGCAAGAAATCTTCTGACTTCTCCAGGCCAGAGTGCAGTTCTACACACCAAAAGGCCCCCAAACCCCAAATCACCCCAAATACCCAAAAAGTGCATGACAAAACCTGCCAAAAGGCTCAAAACGACTAAAACGTCAGATCCCTACAGCGCATGGGCCTGTGTGCCGGCAAGAGTCTGCACTTGCACAACCTGCAAGTGCCGCAAGGTCTGTCTGCGGGGTTCAGTATGGTCACTTCGGGCTGGAGTCTAGAGACCCTCGACCACGGACCCCGCTACAACGCAGGCCCGCAGAATTGAGGTTTCTAATGAATGCAATGCAAGTCCTGCAGAGCTCCCCCTACAGTAGATACACCAAATGACTGAAACAAAAGTGAGCCCGTGCAGCATGATCGCCTAACCCGGGTTAATCCCCTTGAACGAGGCCTCATGCTCTCAGCATAACATGTCATGAGTACTGGGGTTTTGGTGGCACTTCACTGAACTCTAAGCCGGGGTGGAGCTGAATGAGGTCAGTGGCCATCTGCTCCTCGGCAGCTGCCGACATGGCAATGTGGCAGAACAGCTCTGCTGGCTTTTGACGTTCCGCGTGTGTGCTCTGTGAGGCTGAGGATAAAGGTCTGGAGTCTGGGGTTTACGGATGGCTTACCGGTTGGGAAGGGAGCTTAAAGAAGTTGATGACATGAGTGAGACGGTGAAACCAGAGGTTGAGACAAAGGGTTGGGGTTGTCAGGAGCGTTCCAGGGAGTCCAAGACTTTGTGAACTGTGGAAGCCGAAGCGAAAAAGAGGCCGGCAACACAATGAGCGTCCCTTCAGCGATCCTCCCAGATTCTTTAGCCCCAGAAGATTTCCCTAGCGTTTGGAGCCGGCCTCGGGCTCGTCGTCCGAAATCCTGCCGGAACCTGAACCCTCTCATCCGGCTGGGCTTCTCCATCCTCCGTGTCTTGCAGCAAAAGGTAGCTTCACTGAGCTCAGGGCGCTCGGCCAAAATTAGCAAGCTTTCCTCCCTGGGACGTTCAAAGTCTAGACCACGCTAAGTTGGCTCTTCTGCCTATAGGACATCTAGCCGTCCGGTTTTAAATATGAAAAAACAATATAGTTGCCCGCCAACTTTCCAAGCTTAGATCCCTGCTCAGAAACAAGGTCTACACATCAATGCGCTGATCTCCAGATACAATCTGTGGGCCGAACCCCATCTGAGAAGTCGCTTCGGGTTGTTTCAGCCTCAGCTGCCACGAGTTAAGCTTGCAGGCTTTGAGGCTTTAAGTTGTCTGTCACAGGGGCCACTTCACCTTGCTCCTGTTCCTCCTGAAACCTGCCCTCTGCCACTGCCAGGTTCGGGAAACGACGGTTGTGACGTTCGGGAAGTCGTTCATGCTGAGAGAATGTAAGCTCGGCTGCGGAATGAGAGTATTGGCGCGGCTCTTGGCAAAGAAGTCCCTCTACCTCCCAGGATCCCGATTTATTCCTTGCAACACCAAACTCTGCAAACAGGAGCTCTGACACAAAGGCCTCGGACAGAATGCGGATATACCTCCTGCTGCCTACAATATTCATACACACCATTTGGACTTAGATGGCATTGGCAATTGATCCTAAAACATCCTGTGGAACCAGGCTTTCAGCTTAGGGTGTCCTCCCACAGGACGGATGAACCTCGAGGTCTGAGGAACGTGCGTGACGCGTGAAACGACCACGGCCTGCAGCATTTTGCCAAGGTGATGGTCCCCTCTCGGGTTAGGCCTGTGATCAAAGAGACGCAACTAGACTTTGCTCAGAAGCTAAGTGGCCTCCTAAGTGGCCTCTTCACAGAAAAACGACTTCGGATGCTGTCCTGCCCTCCACTTGCCTGTGCCTGCGGATGCGTGCGTGAATGGGTGGGTGGGTGGGCGGGCGGGCGCGCGGGCGCACGTGCATCAGTCAGTGTCAGTGTCAGTGTCAGTGCTAGTGTTAGCGTCAGTGTCAGCGTCTCTGTCTGTGTGTGTCTGTGTGTCTCTGTGTGTGTGTGTTTCTGTGTTTGTTTTTTGTTTTTGAATGTCATACCAATTGTGAACACTCCGACTCCAACTGCGGTGAGTGCATGAATGGGGCGTCGTCGCTTAGCAGGGTTCCTGCATGGGCACGTAGGATTGGGGTTTGCGCAGACTCTCGCACCTCTTCCCCGGCGAAGCCAGAATGCATGCCTCATGTGAGCTGAACCATCTTATTACAACGGCAGAGAAAGGTGCAAAGCCATGGCCCCAGTGTGCTGCATGAAGTGAGCACAAGCCACCTCCTGGCTCATGAAACCAAAACCCACAACTGAAATCTAATCGGGAGATATACATTCCTCGGGCCCACAAACAAAGCGTGGGGTCTGAATGGGGGTGGCCTAGTTGACCTAACTTGCTCCGGGATCGGTTCGAAGAAGTAAGAGGAGGCAATTGCTGAAGGCAATGCATCCATGCCCCCTTCGCCTTTTTGTCTTTTAAACACGCTTGCTGCACAGTGGGCATGTTCTACTCTGCTGTGTGAGCCAGCGGTCCACACAATCGCAGTGAAACCGGTGCCCGCAACGGAGCACCCGCAATTCGTCTCCTGAGCTCGGCACGCGCTGAGCTGAGTCACAAGGTTGACATGGCAGGTCGTACTTGCGGGAGTTATGAAACCCCATGAGTGTTGAAATCATGCGTGCGGTCCATATGCCCGCATTTCCTTACGCAGGCACTGATGCAGGCTGCAGAAGACTAAGGCCCAGTCCACTCTCGTAGCTGGCCAAGCACACCTTGCGCAGCACGCAAACATCCTTCTTGTGAATGGAAGAAGGCAGCACGCCATGGGAGGGGTACACAACAACTGAGTCAGGTTCCAGTTCCTTCTGGGCTAGGCTTGACGGAACATGAGAGGATCCAGCAACAGCAACGGTCCCTGGGCGGAGCAGACTCGACACTCTAGGACAAGCCCAGGCACGGCACAGCTGACACCAGAGTCGCCTGGCAAGGCTGTTTCAGGCTCAACCTACTCTACCCCAGTCGCCCAAACCTTGCTTATGCCAAGCCACTCCCCCTTGAACCTGAGTGCTTCAAACAGCAAACCTTGCCAGGAGTTCGGAATTTGGTGCCCAAGGTTGAGGTCTAATCTCTCACAAAGTTTGAGGTCCAATCTCTCACAACTCCACAAGCCAGGGCTAATTCTGAGCATTCCAAGTTCCAAGCACCGAACATTCTACATGGGAGCAATCTACTAGCATGGGAACACCCAAGAAGAGCATGGAATTTTTGGGTTTAAGGTCTAGTCTGCGGAGTAGGCCCAGGACACCCCTAAACATGGAGCACCTGAGCAAAGACGTCTCAATCCCCAGCAAGGCTGGCGACTCGGGTGGCGGCTGTAACGGAAACTAAAAAAGGTTGTAACGGAAACAAACGGCAAAATGTAGCGGAAAGCAAAAAAAAATGTAACGGAAACAACGGCCCGGCGAGTCGAAACAATGCGCGGCTGTAACGGAAACCAAGCAAAACTGCAACGGAAACCAAAAAGAGATGTAACCGAAATCACGGAAAACTTAAACCGAAACCTACAAAAACCGGCTACGGAAAGGCGCACCAGAAGGGCACGGCTCTTGCGTCGGGGCGTAACAGAAACTACCTGCCTAAGCGAGAAACTACAGGGATTAGGGTGCCACGGACTAGCTCTGGGGCCACGGTATTCTACGCTGCCGGAAGCTAGCCAGCTCCAAGCCAAAGCCATGTACCCGGACCCCTTCGCTTGTTGCCGAGAATTCCAAAAAGACTCAAGCCTGAAGCGAATAAAACCTAAAAGCCTGAAGTTCCATTCTAAACACTGAAGCCTAAACCAAATAAAGCCTAGAAGCCTGAATTTCCATGGGGGGTGGGGGGGGGGAGGGATTCAGATGTTCAGAGTTTGCTGGGCTTCTCTAATCGCGCCAAAGCCTCCACCTTGAATGCTTAACAGCTTCTGGAGTCGGGTGAAACTTCGACGGCAGTTTGAGTTCAGCGGGGTTTACAGCAGCAGTGTTGCTGCGTGACGCGGGATGGTGTGGGCGCCGGCCGACGTCCTACTGCTGAGCCTTCTGAGCAGTTGCAAGTGTTGCTGGTCAAGGTCGCTTGGATGCATCAGCCCTACCTTGACCAGCAACACTTGCAACTGCTCAGAAGGCTCAGCAGCAGTAGGACGTCGGCCGGCGCCTACACCATCCCGCGTCACGCAGCAACACTGCTGCTGTAAACCCCGCTGAACTCAAACTGCCGTCGAAGTTTCACCCGACTCCAGAAGCTGTTAAGCATTCAAGGTGGAGGCTTTGGCGCGATTAGAGAAGCCCAGCAAACTCTGAACATCTGAATCCCTCCCCCCCCCCACCCCCCATGGAAATTCAGGCTTCTAGGCTTTATTTGGTTTAGGCTTCAGTGTTTAGAATGGAACTTCAGGCTTTTAGGTTTTATTCGCTTCAGGCTTGAGTCTTTTGGAATTCTCGGCAACAAGCGAAGGGGTCCGGGTACATGGCTTTGGCTTGGAGCTGGCTAGCTTCCGGCAGCGTAGAATACCGTGGCCCCAGAGCTAGTCCGTGGCACCCTAATCCTTCCTGTGGCTGTAGTTTCTCGCTTAGGCAGGTAGTTTCTGTTACGCCCCGACGCCGTTTCTGTAACGCCCCGAAGCCAGTTTCCGTTACGCCCTTTCGTAGTTTCTGTGTCGTTTTCAGGGGGGCAGTTTCCGTTACAACCCGCCAATTTCCGTAACACACTTTACTCTGGCGATTCACTGTGGAACCCGTGGAAATACCACAAACCCTGAGCAGCACGAGAATCAGAATCCCTCAATCCCTCAAAAGACCCCGACCTCCTCGGGCTTTGAGAACCTGACAGCCGCGCTGCGCAATCAGAGTGTGGCGGCTTGTTTCAGCCGCACAGGGTTTCTTTCACATCTGCCCGGTGCAGGGCTTCGGGCTTTGGGCTTTGGGCTTGGGCATGTGACGATTTAGTGCCGGAGCTGGTTCTGGTTTAGCAGCCGAGCTTGTGCAGCCACACCCCTCTTTACGAAATCGTCGGGCCGGATGATCAAATCCTGCAGATATGCCACATGGGAACTGAAAGCACTTTCGATGCCGGACGATCCATCCTGTTAGCAGCAAGAGTATACCTTCACCGTGGTGATGGAACAGGATCAAACTACTGAAACCTGCCGTATTTGCACCGCACAACCCACCCATACGATCATTGAAAGGTCGAGGAACAGCTTGAACTAGCTCAGCTTTCTCGATTCCAGCGCCGTTTCTCAGCAGCAGCTGCGTTTCCTTGTCATGAAAGGGGAGATGCTCACTGCGGGGAAGCAGAATTCTATTGCGATCGTAAAAACCCGTTCTACATCCTTTTTGTGAGCTCCTAGAATCCTAGCACCCAAGCCGACCGAGTCTGGACCCACAACCTCGGGGAGCAAGCTAGCGACTTCGGGACACCCTGCTAGGGGGACCCTTTTTGGGGGTTTGGGGTTCCTATACAAGGATTATACTTTCTTGGGGGTATAGTAGGGGGACCCTTTTTGTGGGAATACCCAGATCATGAAGGAGCCAAAGTGCCCTTGAAGATGGCCCACCGGCGGACTTCAAGCGAAACGCAAATCAAACCATACCCCGAAGGTTCCCGAGCCCCCAACCCAAGGCCCGTGTATTCCAACCATTTTAATCGGCCATACCGGATTCCTTGCCCAGGCGTCTCTGGTCTCGCTGCCACCCGCAAATCCAAGATGCATGTCCTCAAAGCACTCTTCGATGACTCTTGTGCTTTGCCACTCGCATACCAGAGTTGAAGATTCTCACGCGTTGGAAGACCATGGGCCTTCAGTTTCCTGAAATTATTTATAAGACCAGATCAATGCGAATTCGGTTGATTCAAACCGGCTCGTTACACGCACAACCGTGGCAGGTACCAAGGTCAAACCTTTCCACCAGCACTCTCACGCACTATACATTCCAGAGCCCTGTGGAGCCACGTCGCTGCTTGGCGCTGAAGGCGCCTGAGCTCCTGGTCATCGCATGCAGCATGGTGCGGGAATAGAGTCGCTGTTTGACTGCACTTGCCATGCCTTCACAAGGGGGACGACGAACACATTGAACAACTCTGTTGCAGGTAAAGGCCGAAGATATGCGACTAGTCGAGGGACTGAAAAATCCCCGCCCTAGCCACAACCTCGGGAGTCATATCACGCCTTGCGAGTTCAAGGGTATAGGGGGTTTCGGGGTGCCTGTTTGGTTCCGATCATAAGAATACACGGTGGGTATTCTGGAGGAAACTACTCCTGAAGTGGTACATCGCCGCTCCGAAACTGAAGCCTTGGATTCTTTAAAGTTTCTTGCTTTGCAACGTATCCCTGCACACAAAGGCCCAGTGCCCTGGGTTTAAGAGTGAAGGTCAACCCAAAACCCAAAAGACTAAGCCTAGGGCTCTGGGGACAAGGTCTTCTTTCTTGAAAGCGAAATAAATGCCCATGTTGGCTGCAACTTGCGTCGATTGAGCTCACCGGTGCTCGGTACCCCCAGTGTCGCCGTTTCTGCTCATTGTGGACTCCTCTTTCAAGGCCGTCACCGACCAACGATGCAGCTCTTCCTCGCCAACCTTGGGAGGGCATTTCAACAACCAAAACCACTACTTGGTGCCATGAAGCGTTCACCCCCAAGGCAACCACACCTCTCATATGAATCGTTCCGCTCTAGACACTAGACTGACTGTGCCAAGCTGCGAAGGTCTCCTTTGCAAGTTTCTGTACTTCTGCAGGGCTCACGCGTGGTCTCTGACGACGCGAGTTGTCGGCAACCCACCTTGTCTCCAAGGGTCCGTGCTTGTAACTTTGGGACCTTCGAGTGGTCTCAGCCGCAAAGACTCTGGCATCAAGCAAAGATGCAAAAGTGCGAGCACGCATGGCTTACAAAGCAAACCCTTGGCTCTTAGATGTTCTTTTGCACCGAAACACCGCAAAGACATTTTTATTTCGATATGCTGCTATACTCTATTCAAAGTCGGCGTTAGGGGTAGGCTCCACAATGGCCTGCACTGACAACACAACTTCCTTGGGATCCCAGATCTCCGTCCAAGACGAAAGCCCCAGAACTCAGATGCATCAGGATGTAACGGCCTTGGACTAGGGGGTTTTAAGAACGGTTTAAGCTTAAAGCTTTGGGTAGGGATCTTGCTGT